AATATATGCATGCCCCGTGTGAACAACATTGGATAGTCGTGAAGCGTATTCTTTGTTATCTCAGTGGCACTTTGGATTATGGATTAATATTCCATAAAAATAACACTGGAATTCAACTTGAAGCATTTGTCGATGCTGACTGGGCAGGCAACATTGATGATCGTCGTTCTATTTCTGGATTTTGTGTGTTCCTTGGCGAAAATATGGTATCTTGGTCATCTAAACGACAACGCTCAGTCTCAAGGTCCACCACTGAAGCAGAGTATCATGGGATTGCAAAAGCTGTTACTGATGTTGTGTGGCTTACAGCTTTGCTCAAAGATATGGGTATAGTGTGCTCTAGTCAGCCTGTCATTTGGAGCGACAATACAAGTGCTATTGCCATGAGCGCAAACCCAGTGTTTCACTCACGTTCGAAACATGTTGAGTTGGATTTACATTTCATTCGGGAAAAGGTTGTTGCTGGTGATGTTGCAGTTAATTATGTTCCTGCCTCACATCAATGTGCAGATGGTTTAACCAAGCCCTTGTCAAGGGCCTATTTTTCTATGTTTCGCGAGAGGATGCATGTTTATGGAGGTGATGTTGAAGCCGTAGAAGGTAGGGAGAATGTTAACCAATAAAACAAATAATAGCAAGGTTGTTAAAATGATTATAACTGCATAGGCGAGCTGCCATAACAAATAGATTTTTCTAGTATGGAGGTTGTAAAAATGATAAATACAGGCTTCTGAAATGAAAAATGGTAGAGCATTTATGATTGTTTAACAGAAAAGTTTTACAGTAAATCTAACACGCCCACTAAATTGAAAATATGAAGAGACAGATGACAACCTTATCGAAGGTTTTTTTATGTTAAAGCAAGACCATTAACACATAATTACATCAATGTAAATTTATATATTTTTTAATATCTTATTACTTAACAATAAACACATAATTATATTGATGTAAGTATGTTTTTATATTTTCAAAGAAATAAAAAATTATAATAAATATATATATTAAGTTATTTGTATTTAATTTTTATTAAAAACTATAAATGATAAAAAATAGGAAATTATATTATATTATTTGTGTTAAAATATAATAAATTAGAAATATAATTATAAATATAATTTATTAGTAGTTAACCATTGGTTAACCATTTATAAAAATTCATAATCGTAACTTTAACAATTAATCATCATTTTTAGTTGTTCGGTTAACCGAAACCATTTAGTATTAACATTTTGATTAATTAATCTGTTAAATGAAACGGGTATATCGATTAACGGTTATAGTTAATGCTTACGGATTTTTTTAACACCCCTAGTAAATATAATTTAATTATATATTTTTAATATACAAAATAATATCTAAAATAGATATTTTATCTTTTTAAAATCACTTTTTAATAACAATCTCAAATAATTAAATTTTAAATTTCCGCGTTGCCATGTCTCGCATTGACTACGCCCCCGGTGGGATTAACCCTCCCAATACCCACGCACGAGCAACATATTAAGTATAAATAAAGAATCGCTTCAATTTTCACGGGCATTCCGGCCCTGGTAGTTGCTGTGCCATGAGAAAACAAAATGAATTTCCTGGTGCAAATTAAGCATAAAGAAACTTGGCGGATAAAGTGCTGATTAGCTTGATCCCATAGCAAAAGCAACTGTGGAATGGGCTTGAAAAGCGATGATGTGTGAATGCCACATGCATCGCCCATCCAATGGCGTAAAAAAAGTAGGTAGAAAATTGTGGTTGGATTGTTTATCTGATTTCACATGTGCTGGCGCTTCTTCTTCAAAAGTCAAGCACGACACGGATCCCCACTGAGCTGCAACCTTCTGATTCGCCTTTCGTTCATACTTGGATCCGGTGGCTTTGACCTTCTTTAATGGCATTGTATGAAACAGAGAGGAGAGGAGCAGTGCAAAACAAACATAAATTTGTAAATTTTATTACGAACTAGAGTTACAAATCAATGATAAATTTTAAAGAAAGAAAGAAAGAAAAAGCTACAGACTTTGAACAAAGGAAGTGATGTTCTGTCCATGGTGGCCTACTACCATAAGTAACATGGGTTAAGATGGTGGCGGTAATGGTTGTTCTTGACACGAACATATCTCCTCCGGCTACACAAGAAGGCAAAACGGATTCTGGACAAGACCATCCTTCTGAGTTTACGAGCAGACCGTAGCCTGAACCAGACAACCCTCTTGAACCCCGCCAGGGTTGTCTTGATCCTCTCGGTCACTGTCCTCTTCCTGCAGAACTGGTAGCTCCTCAAGAACAGCTGTCGCTTCTCCATCATCACCATCATGTTCTTGTGCTCCATATACCCATACGACGACATAAAATGATCATTCTCACTACTCAGCAGAGCCATCGGAGGGTACTTAAAATGAGCCGAAATTTGCTCGAGCGCCACCACCCTGGCCTTAGAGAGATCCGCTATTGTCTTGAACAAAAAGACTTTGGATTGAAAGTCAAAAGTCTTGAGCTTTTATAACATCTGGAAGGTTAAATTCAACGCAATCTGCATCTAACTTTGACGATGATCCGTGCACTAGAAGGATCCGCAGTAATATACATTCACGCAAAGTTCGTGGAAAAGGCCCGCCAAGAACCTACATTTACAAGTCATTACGAATTAAGATGTTGTGTAAGGAAAAGGACAAAGACAAGCTATGCCTATGAGCTAAATCCTATGTTAGCACTACGTTTTGCAGTGCAAGTTATTGGTGGATCATTCTCTCTGGAAAAAAAATTAATTCAAAACCAAAAAATAATTTAAAAAACTAATATCTTTCAGGTTATTTATAAATCAAACCATCTAGTTTTGTAACTGTAATTTTTTTTTTGAATATTTAAAAATTATTATTTAATATAAAATTTATAAATAAATTTAATTGAATTTGGGTTTAAATAGATCAATTATATTTTGAATGATACCTAAACTCAAAAAATGATGATAGATCGAAATCGAATTAAATATCAAATCTAAAATCGAATTAAATATCAAATCTAAAATCGAATTAATTATATTGAAAATAGAACCGGCTAGGTTTGATTTATTCGAATGACTTAATATGTTTATAATTATATTCAGGTGCAAAAATTTTAAGTTTCAACTATAAGTATTGTTGTGTTGATGATATGAATACATAATAATGAAAGCATGTTTAGTATGCATACATTTATGAGATAAAAGTAAATGACATGTGTAGCGACGGTTGATATAAATATAAAGTTAAAAGCGTGTTAGTTTTGTTAATTTGATTATATGAATATATTTAAGTTGCCTTTGTGTGTATATATATTACATGTAAATATTATATATAATATATGATATGTTGATAGTGTTATCATATGTCATATGATGTTTAAATTAAATGATATGTTTCAAATACTCTCGATATGAAAGTATGCTCGTGTGCCTATATAATAAAATTATAATATGAATATATATATATATATATATATATATATATATATATATATATATATATCGATGTGATCGTATGCATATATTTAAGACGCTTATATATCTAGTATGGATCTTATCAAACTATTTTTCTCTAGTATCTCTCATTTGTGATGTGTCGTTTATACTTTTTTTTCATCTTTACTGATCGGAAGAGACATTAACTTTGATATTGCTATCTACTGCTGATATTTTTTTTTGTTGTCCTTCTACTTTTTTATATCATATTTTTTATTTTTCTCTTTTTTTAATCTTTAATAAGTTTACCTTTACGACACGTTTTTATCTACCATCATGACACATTTTTTTGTTGTCTTTTAACACGTTTTTTTTATTATTTGACCGTTGTTTTTTTCACTTATCTTTTTAAAATGTTGATTTGACATCGCAATGACTGATCAAGATGACATTTATTTATAATCGTGATAATCTTTCTTACTTTGGACTTTTGGATTGAATTTGAGTACTTGATTTTCATTCGTGGATAGTTTTTCCACGTCGCTCTACTCTGATTTACGATTTTGTCGATAGTCTTTTAGTAGTTTGATCTCCTTTTGTGGTTCATTTGCCGATTTGATCAGATCTGTTTGTATATACACTTATTCGAGTTTTGGTTAAGCTTTTTAATCTTTTCTTGTATGGTCCTTATATGATATTAAGTTGCTAGTTTTGTATCAATGATTTTATAAAAATGTCCTAATTATGTACTTAAGTTATGATTATAACTTTAAATATACATTGTAATTCAAGATATTTCCTTCTTTTTTTAATAAAACCAGACTCTTATATATTTAAAAGTTGAAATATGATTAAATCATAAAATTTATGATAGTAAATTGAGAGTTTAATTCTTTAGGGTTACATTAGTAGAAAACATTGCATGGGGAATTCGTAATTTTTTGGTTAAAAAATAAAGTAATTATTACTTATTCATATAATTACATAAGTTCATGGTCTAGATTGCCCGTCTTATATAATAATATGAAGAATTTAGATAAAAATATTAAATTGAAAAATAAATTTAATTGAAATCAAATTGTTGAAAAATATAAACTGAATTTAGGTTTTAATATTGATGATTTGAATTTGATATATTTTTTTTATTTTTTATATGATAATAATTTATATCACATAAAACTTAAATATATAGTAATATATAATACGTTTAATATCAAGTTATCAATATTTAAAATTTCAATTAATATATATTAAGTTAAAAACAATATAATATACAACAAAAAGTAATATGAATATATTTAAAATAGACTTGGTTTATTTTTTTTGCATAACACAAATTATTTATATTCTAAGTTAAAAAATAATATATATTTAAATCCATTTTTAATTATTACAACAGTAATAAAAATTCAACGAAGAAAATATAATTTGGAAAGAAAAAAAAAGAAATGAAGAAAATATCCATTTGCCCACAAAAATATCCGATACAGAAAATCCTACCCGAAACCAACCGAAGTGGAATAAATATCTCAAAAGAAATCCCCTTATCCTACAACCTATCCAAACAGTAAAACGAGAAGATGGCCTCCTTCCTCAGCTCCATTCACCACACACCCTCACTGGAGCTCCCCTCCTCCGCCTCTAATAGAAGGATAAAGCCCAATGCACCAACTTCTTCCTTCTCCTTCCCTTCTAAGTCTCAGTTCAACTCCCTCGTGCGGGCTGGGAGGCCGTTGCTTTTTGTTCCTCGCGATTTTGCCACTCCCAGTTCGGTGCTCAGCGAGCAGGCCTTCAATGGCCTCTCTCTTATCCAAAACCAGGACAAACAATATGTCCATGACACTCCAGCTAACCAACTTGACATTTCCAAGCTGGGCTTGCCTCAGCGTCTCCTCCAGTCACTACTCAACCGAGGCATCACTCACCTGTTCCCAATTCAGGTCTATTTTTCTTTCTTTCCCCTTTCTTTTTGCTGACTTCATATGTAATTTTGCACTCAGTGCAACTTGTTTGGCTTATACTGTTTTAATTCTCTCTTTTAGTTTGTGCTATGCTTCTTACCTTATTTCAAGTTTCAGTCTTTATACTATAGGGATTAGCATTCGGTCGAGTAAAAAATTTCGAATTAGTTGATGTGTTTTATTTTATTTTATTTTTTATATTCGAGTTGAATTGTTCTAGTTTATGTATGAATTTAATTGTAAATATTTATAATATTTTTATAACAGTATGCAATGTACTTTATATTTTTCATATGCAATAAATATATATCATACAAAGTTGAAGTACTAGAATCGAACTTGAAAATGAATCTACTAATTATTAAAAATTTTGTGTTATTTGAGTTCTATGTTACAACTCAACTCGAATTTGAAATTTTTTTGAGTCGAGTTTATAAAATTACGAGTTGAGTTAAGATGAGTAGAATTCTTTAGCTTTGAGTTGAGTCGAAAAATTTGATTTTTTTTTTCAAGTTGAGTTTTGCTCACTCCTATTTATATCATCTCCTAATCTTTATGTTGCGTTTAGGTTTGTTTTGTGTAGAACCATGATTTTGCGTTACTTTCTGTTCGTGTATACTTCTTTGAAATACTATCTTGACATTCTAATCTTTATACATTATATCTCCCCTGTCGTTAATTTAGAGAGCTGTCCTTGTACCGGCACTGCAAGGTCGAGACATTATTGCTCGAGCAAAGACTGGAACCGGCAAGACATTAGCCTTCGGTATACCAATAATAAAACGGCTCACTGAAGATGCTACTCACCGGTAAAAGACCTTATAATTTAAACCCACAGTTCTTCCATTTTCAATTGTTCTTGTTATTCTTAATCTTTTCTCCATTCTGTTTTTCTTGTTTAGGACATCTGGTCGGCTTCCAAGAGTTTTGGTCCTCGCGCCTACACGAGAGTTAGCCAAGCAAGTTGAGAAAGAAATTAAAGAGTCTGCATCTTATTTGAACACTGTTTGTGTTTATGGAGGGGTATCTTATAGTATACAGAAAAATGCTCTTTCCCGTGGGGTTGATGTAGTTGTTGGGACTCCTGGTCGAATCATTGACCTCATAGAAAGTAATTACCTCAAATTGGGAGAAGTTGAATATCTGGTCCTTGACGAAGCTGATCAGATGCTTGCAGTTGGATTTGAGGAGGCCGTCGAACAAATTTTAGAAAATCTTCCATCAAAGAGGCAGAGCATGCTTTTCTCTGCAACCATGCCTTCTTGGGTTAAAAAGTTGGCAAAAAAATACTTGGACAGTCCTCTGAATATTGACTTGGTAAATTCTTTTCTATGTACTATTTGAGATGCTTATGCATGCTTGGTTTTGACATGTTACATCTGTTTTGTTATTCGTTGATGATGTAGAAGTTTATATCTAGACTTAAAGGGTTAGTAGAAGTCTCGGGTCAGAAGTATTGGAGCCAGTAATTATGCGTGCTTGTTTGATGGATGAATAGTTATTCAACCAACAGTGGAACTTCAAAATTCTCTGTTTCTGATTGTTAATGTTGAAACTAGTCTGTGTCCCCATTTCAGTCCATTTTCTTAGGTTCGGAGGACTAATACATTGTTGAGCAAGTGATTCAATTTTTAATGCTAATCCCTGCTCAGAGTGTGCTTATCAACCTTATAAATCTGATCTCTCAACTATTTATCAGATAAACAAAACAGTGCAATCCTGGAAAATGTTGTGAGATATGTGCATAGATCTACGCAGCATGCTACTGTCTTCCTGCATTTGTGCGATGAAAATATTACTTAGCTAGGACATTTCAAAATTATGTTCTTTTTCCTTGGGGATAAAAAGGGTATGATATGTTGAGAGATTAAAAGTGAATAATATAATTTGAAGATATTTCTCTTGACGAATAAGTGAAATTATCTTCTGTTTATATTATCAAATTAACAGGGAGAAAGACATTATACACATCTATTCACATACACGAGTAACTAGAGATATGCTAATCTTAGAGTAGGCTGAGTAGCACATTTCTATTATCAGTATCTTGTCTTAAAGTCTTTTCATTGAAGAAAGAAACAGTTTTTTAGTTGCTGTCTTTTCTCCTTTAATAGGTTGGAGATCAAAATGAAAAGCTTGCCGAAGGGATCAAACTTTATGCAGTATCAACCACTGCAACTTCAAAGCAGTCTGTTCTTAATGGTCTCATAACGGTAAATAGTTTTTTTTCCTCTGTCCCAGTTTCTCTCTATTGTGCTATAAACTGAAGCCATCGATGAAGTCTGTCTATTACTTGTAATGAGTTTTTTCTTTGTATATGTATCTTCTCAGTGGTGAGTAATAAGATTAATTCCAATATGAAAGATGCAACAGGTTTTTGTTTTATGTGGTAAAAATTCTATTTAGCATAGGATTTTTATGTTGATATTATTCTGTGTGACATTTGCTATCTCACTTTTTTTCCGCCAGCTGTTAATGTGTTCTTTGTTCCTTAAAATTTTCAGTAATGAATTTGGTTCAAATGTTGGATTGCTATTCCTAGTTCAAACTTTTGGTCTTAAAAGCCTCTCAATATAAGTCCTTGGTAGTTTTATTTTTCCATTTTTGCTGTCAGCATCTTGACTCTACTGAGTTTATTTGATGTAAGGCTTCTTAAGAACATTAACTTCATTAAAGGAAAAGTGTATTCCTAGCTTTATTTTATTTATTTATGTGTCTAGTGTCAACAGCCCAAATTTCCATCATTTGCAGATCATACTGATTCATGTATTTATCAAATGTAGGAGATGCCTTCCATACTTTAATTTGTTCTTAAGAGAATTTTATCATTTGGCTCTCAAATATGAATGGAATGTTGTTATGCTACTTTTGCACTAATCAAAGTTAATATAGGCTCCTCCTTCTTTGACCAAGAAGGAGGTTTTTAAGGAGGCCTGTCATTCTTATCAAAAAAAAAGTTAATATAGGTTCACCACCATGAAAAAAAACTGAATCTTGTCTGAATCTTCAGGATTATTCAAAGGGTGGGAAAAGCATTGTTTTTACACAAACAAAACGAGATGCAGATTATGTGTCTATTGCTTTAACAAATAGCATAGCATCTAAGGCATTGCATGGTGATATTTCTCAACATCAGAGGGAGATAACATTGAATGGATTTCGGCAAGGAAAATTTACTGTGCTTGTTGCCACTGATGTTGCATCTCGTGGTCTTGATATTCCAAATGTTGATCTGGTAAGGTACCCAAATATATTTTAGTTCTTTAAACTGTCATTTTGGGGCTGTCATCATGTTCTTTCATGCTAATTTAGACTCCTCCATGGTTATTAATTTTACCACCTTTTGTGTTTTGCTGTTGTTTCTGCAGGCAAAATCATTGACTAAATGAAAATGGTTTAAATGTTACACCAATTAAACAATTTGTATTTTATCCATAGAGGCATTACTTTAGTTCCAAACAAATATTGTTGGTCTTTGATCATTGGAAACAGAAAGCAATATCGAAGGTACCTGTTAATTATTACATATTAATATAGTACTTGAAAGACTCAGACTTATTTTGAAACTCAAACCAGTTGACTTATTCCTAATTTTTTTTATAAGAATTGAAGGTCTCGTTAAAAAACCCCTTCATAACTGCAAAAACACCAAAGGGTGTTTTGGCAAAAAGAGGAAGGTGGAAAAGAGTACCTCCAGATTTATTGATTACTAGTAAAACAGTACAAGATGCTTAAGTACAAACAGAGTGCTTATCCCAATATATAAACCTTATAACTCTACACCAGCACCCTACCCAAGCCAAAGAAATCTATCAACCAATTCCTGACTTAGCTAAAGCGTCTGCTTCCACATTTCCCGACTAATTCCTAATTAGAATTGTTAAGATTGATAATAGGTGGGGAGGATCTATTTTATGTAAGACCACAGGAAATCTTATACTTAACAGATGTCGGATGACACCGTTTAACATGAATGGTTTGGTATTTAAAGTCCTTTTCATCAGTCACTCATGCTCAGAACCTGAGTTACTGTTTGATATGCATTTAGTGGAAAAATGTGTCATCTGAGCATAAAATATACATTCATGCTATGTCGATGCTCACAAGTTGTTACTTTATTTCTGTTTCCAATATTCATGCTCCTTTTTCTTGATAATAGCATATATGGATAGGTAAAATAACTATGACCTGTCTTCACTTTCAAAATGTGGACTTGCTCTCTTAAGGCTATACTGAGAAGACTGGTATTTATGATTGTTTTCTCCAGGTTATCCACTATGAGCTTCCCAATAATGCAGAGACTTTTGTGCATCGCTCTGGCCGTACTGGACGGGCAGGGAAGGAAGGTTCTGCAATTTTGATGTATACTAATAGCCAAAGGAGAACTGTCAAAACTCTTGAACGTGATGTTGGGTGTAAGTTTGAGTTCATTAGTTCTCCAGCTATTGAGGATTCATCCCGGTCTCTTGTTAACTATAAACAGGTAAACTATAGTTTGCTTTCTGTTCTTAATTGAAGCACCTGATTGTGATATTACATTAAACTTTGCTCGTTTCCCACGGCGACAACCTTACTATTGGATTGGGGCTCTTAATTTGTGGGGGTGTTGAGTTCAGCCCCATCGGAAGGAGTTCAGAGGACGGGGAGGCTATGTTTTTCCATGTGTTCCGGATTTTTTTAAGTGGCATGTGCCTCTTCCCTTTTGTGCTGTTTGGCTTGGTCTGTTGAAAGTGAATGCATTGTATAATGTGGTTGTTACCATGCAAATAGCTGGTACTCGCAATGCAATGGTTTTCTTTTTGTGCATTGTTCTGTACTTTTTTGTCTTCTTTTAGGTAAATCCTAGTTGCTTTCTATATATAAACATATCCATGTCTACTGGCAGCTTGTTACCAATTAATCTCTTAAATGTAGACAACCTCTAATAACTATTGGCAGCAACCCTTCTATATCTAGGCATATACATAAAATGCTGTCAACTGGATGGTCAGTGTTGCTCATTAGATGTGCTTCCGGATGATGGCCATGTCACTTGTGTTACTATCATCTAATTCATCAAGCTACGGACCCTTGGCAGCCACCTAAGAACACGTGTGTATGTGTGTGTATTATCGCAGTAAGTTGATTTTGTGTATTTATTTCTTCTGGCAGTTGTCGGCTATGCATGATGATGGCCCTTCAAGTGATTATTATGGCAAATTTTCTTCAAGGGGTGGTTATGCACGAGAAATTAACAGAAGTCCGAGAAGTTTGAGGGCGTCTAGGGGTTGGAGCAATGGCCAAGACTCCAGTAATGAGGTTCGAGGTGGAAGAAATAGTTGGGACCAGACTTCAAAAAGCGGTAGGGATAAATGGCTAATTGGTAGTCACAGATCAAACAGGTCATTTTCGAAAAGCGGTAGGGATGACTGGCTAATTGGTGGTAGTAGCAGATCAGACAGGTCATTCTCCCGTGACAGGCATGTCTTTTACCATATATTCTCTTGTAATGAATATCTTGAACCCTTTGACTTGTGCCATGTTTTATGACATGTAATATGACATCCGTGCACCATTCACTTTCATCAAGATCATCATTTAGGGTAGGGGTTCAACGATCTCAGGGCCAGGAAATAAATGAGAACATAGAGAACTTACAACTATTATAAAGTTTTGATGTTGACCTCTCAATGTGTACAGAGGCTTTGGAGGTTCGTGTTTCAACTGTGGGCACCGTGGGCATATGTCGTCCGACTGCCCTGAAAAGTAACACCTCTGATGTGTTGGTTCGATATCGGTCTTCCACACTGACTTGGGCTATCTCGGGACATTTGGTTTTTGACAGACATTGGCCGTGGAGTGATGAGAGTTGCTCCCCAAATATTGTTGCTATTGTGGTCTGCCATCATCCCTTTTGATTAGCGAGGGAACTCATGTTGTGGTGGTCGTCGTGGCTAATTCGATCATTTGCTATAGGGGGGTGTTTTCACATTATTGCCATAAGATGTGCAATCTCCCGAGACCAAAATTTGTGCTTTTTTCTTTTCGTGTCATAATTATTTAATCAAATTTAATTTCTGAGACAATTTTAATATTACATTTGAGCTATTTGTCGTAATCGATTTTTGTTCGGGCACGAAATTTTTACTTGGCAGGAAAAATAACACGAATAAATAAATGATTTTATTTTTAAAAAAAATATTTTTGGAGTCGTCATTGACCTTTTGGGGCAGGTAGGTCAAATACCTAAAAATTCTCTTTTAAAAGAGTTTTTAAGAAAACATCAATTAAAAGATGAACTGATATGTGTTTATAACCAAAAATTCGTTCTTTTTAATAATAAAAAGGGATTCGTGGTTGGTTACGTTTAGGGAATGATTAACATCCCTACATCGCCCAAAATTGGTATTTTTTAATTATAAATTATCTCTATTATCATAAATTTAAAAATTTAAAGATATGTTTATTTTATAATATTGTTATTTTTATGAAAATATATTAATTTAAATATAAATAAGATATTTATTTATTTAGAAATATCAGAAAAGAGCTTTTAGGTGTTTTAAGATAGCTCTTTTTTTTAATATTCAAAAAATAAATAAATAAATATTAATAAAGCATTTATTAAAAATAGATTAATATATACAATTTATAAAAAGTAAAATATTTATTTAAAAATACCAGAAAATGGACATCCAGTTATATTAAGACTGTCCTTTCTTAATATTTAAATAAATATTAAAAATAATAATTTTCCTTAATAAAATAAAACAATATGTGTTTTATGATTTTTATAAGTAGGATATTTATTTATTTTTAAAATACTAGAATAGAACATCTAGTTGCTTTAAGACTGTCCTTTTCTTAATATTAAAAAAATAAATATTAATATTTAAACAAATATATAGATGTATATTTATATGACTAATATGAAAATAAAATAATAATTAAAATAATCATTTAAACATATTGGAATTGAAATGATAATAATACGAATTAAAATGCAATTAAATAGTGACTAAAACATATAAAATTAAAATAATAGGATTAAAATATAAACTATTAAAATTTACAGCTCTTATTTATAGTATTATAAAAATACAATTACTAATGATGTAATTAACCCTAATTATTAATAAGTGATTAAAATTATAATTATTAAAATTAAAGGCTCTAACTCGAATAATAAAAAGATCTAAGTACTAATAATGTAATTTAGCCTTATTTAATTAATTCGGGTTAAAATGATAATTACTTAACTATAAGGGACTAAATTAGGTATTTATCCTAAATATATATATTATATTATGTAAAGGACTAAAATAAAATAAAATTACTAGATCGAATTATAATATATAAAAACATGCTATAAGGATCAAATTGCAAGTTTTTAAAGTTACAATGGCTGTGGGAATAGTTTAGCCGTATGTGAAATTACACAGAGGCCCTCCCTTAAACGACGTCGTTTAAGAGAGGGTATATATACCCTATTATGGCTGGCCCTTCGGGCCATCCTCTCATTTCCTTCATTTCTTCTCTCTCTCTAGAACTGAGAGAGAGATTTCTCTCTCTCTCTTCTCTCTAGATTCCTCCAACCGGAGGACGGTCGGCCACCAGTCGGCAGTCGGCCGCCGCCATTAATTATGCCGCCGGCCACCACCTTCGGTGGCCGGAAATTTTTTTTCCTCACTAAAATACAACCATGATTTCCCCAAAGTCGAGTCCGGCCTTAGTTTCCCTTAAAAGAACCCTAATCGGAGTAAATCTATGAAAATACCTTCGGTATTTTCTGTTCTCCGGCGATGTTTAGTGCCTCCGGCGATGGTCAAGGCTCCAAGGGTAAGTTTCTTTCTTCTTTCTTTATTTTCTGTTTTGGTTCACTGCTTGTAGTGGGTTCTCCCTTCCCGTCTGTGGCTCTCTGTTCTTTCTTTTTCTGTCTCCCTTCTCCGTTTTTTTTTGTTTGCAGGGAACCAGTGGCTTTTATAGGCCTCGTCGGAGCTTATCTCGGACCGATCACAAGAGCGGATTTCGGCGAGTCACCGAACTATGTGGTGACTCACCCCTAGAGCAGCAACGTGGGTGGCCATCTGGGTCTTCTGGAGCCTTCGACGAGGGGCGGCTGGAATGCTCTTGGAGGCGGCGTCGGTCGCTTGGCCCTAGGGTGATGATACCCTAGGGTTTGTTGTTGGGATCATTTGGACCGTTGGATCTAAGTTAGATCCAACGGCTGACAAAGGGAGGCGGCTGGAAGCTTATATGGAAACCCTTGTTGGGTTTTAGGGTTTCTGGTGGGTTTGGGCCATCTGTTCGGGCCTGGGATTTGTATTTGGGCTCCCGGGATCTGGGCTTGTAATAATTATTTGATAATAATATAATATATATAATATAATAATAATATTTATAATAATAATAATAATTTTAATAATAATAAATTTAAGTAACATGAAAAATTAGTGTTTACACTATTTAATTGCATAATCATCAAAATAAGTCATTTTGATTTTATTAATTAGGTTTTTTCAATCATCAACATTTAATTTTGATTTATTTACTGATTAATTTGAATAAGACACGGATAATCCTCCTAATACAATTTGTTTCATGATTTTTTTTTTGAATCTTAATTTGTTTCATGGATAAATTCGTGGTAATGTGCCATCTGCTTTTAGAAGTCAAACTATACCTATAAGTCAATGGAAGCTTCTGTTAATATTTTTCATTCGTTGATTTCTTGTTTTCCAACCATGAGCTTATTAGGCAGGAGTTATTTTATTGTGCACAGAACCAGACTCCTTTTTTGTCCCTGTTTGAATCAACTCTAACATAAAAACCCTGAAATCCTACATCTCCAAAACAAAGTTTTTTTCCGATGTTTTATCCATTTGTTCGTGGAGGTTTCCATCATAAAGGAGGAGATGATGACTTCTGGATTAGACCTGTTTCTAGACAGAAAATCAAGGAGAAAAAGCCAAGAACCCATAACATGCGGACTCGGTCAGTTCTCTACACTTGTATCTGAACCCGAAGAGTAAGGGCAACAGATTTACTCACAAATGAGAACCCAAGGTATTGTTCGATTTTGTTACCATAACTCGAACGTTTGTGTCCCTTTTCTTGTAAAGTTGATCAAGAAGCATGACAAAATAATACGGTGAACTACCAACAATCATCAGCTTCAAAGGGATGATTCGGAAGTTATTGATAACCTTCAAACGCCATGGGATCAGATCTAAAAATCGATAAAAAGAAGAGCTTTTCTTCAAAAGTCGAGCTACAGAATCTGAATGTTATAAGCTGATTCATCGAGTCTAAATCTCTTTGAGCACGGCAGGAATAAAATGCCATTAAGCTGATATTTTCCAGGTTCACAATCACACCTTCTTCCCCAATAAACTGAACTAGAATGTATATCTATCAGAAGCAGCAGGTTAAGGTTACATTACATACAACCGGTGCCCTCTCTACATTTGAAGAACTGGTAATGTATCCATACATATATATACATTAATACAAGTAGAAAAATTAATTCAAACCGTGCAGAATGGTAATGTTGTCTTCGATTTGATGGGATTAATGTTTTACAGGTACTGAAATGAACTTAGCTGGATCGAACCGTCTCGATGGCTGAAACTAAGTCGTCAAATTTTGCTCCTGTCACTTCCTTCACTACCTTGTTGTGCTTCAGTATCTTGAACGTTGGAACCACTCTTATACCAAGCTCCTTCGCCAATGGCTGCCAAAATCATTGCCAAACCTCTCATCATCACATAGTTTCAAAATCATTTCCTAGACTCTGTTTAAAACACTATATAGTATATACATGCACAAAATATAGATTAATTAATTCAACAAAACCTACATATATGTTAACAGATGCTCACATAGTTGATCTCAGGGATGAACACAGGAATTTGTATTAGGGCCGGAACTTAAAAAACTTTAGGGAAAAACATATTATCAATAGAAAACACAAAAAAATAACTAAAATATATGAAAATTTGAAATTTTCAAAGAAGCAACCGCCTCTGCCAGTCATCTCGATCTATCCTCTCGATCTATCCCTGTTTGATCTAACTAGCGGATTTGGAAATAATAATTGGAATTACCTTGTTTTCTTGATTGCAATCAAGCTTTAGAAAGACAACGTCAAGGTACTTCTCAGACAATTCTTGATACTTGGGAGCTATAACTTTACAAGGACCACACCTAAGACATTAAAGCAAGACGTGACAAATTAAAAACTACTTTTATCTGAAACTTAAGAAATTCTGATCATCTTTAATGGAATTATTCATCCAATTAAAAATAATCGACATGCAAGAAGGCATAATCTAATTTAAATAAGAGCGATGAGTAAAGATCAAACTCAACTTTTCAATTATTTTAAACATTTTAACTCAGCTAAATAAATTTTCAAGTAAGAACAAACAGCCAAACACTACCTTAGCTAATTAATAGCCGCATAAATGACGTTTAAGTAGATACAGCAGTATGGGTACATGTGATTTATATACGTACCATTGAGTGTACATATCGAGGACGACGGTTTTATCCTCGGCGGCTTTAACGATGGGCCAGAATGTGTCCTTCGTAACCTCCGTCACCTGCCCCACCGTTGCTCCAGCCGTTTCAAGGCTGGACCTCACCTTTCCTACAGCGCCTTTTCTTTTACTAGTCCTAGAGCTCGAAATGGAGGTAACGGTCTTTAAAGACGACGATCTTAACAAGGAGGAGGAGTTCCAAGTGGAAGAAACGCTACAGGAGGCGACGATGGAGTGTGCCGCCGCGCCTGAAAGTGACGGCGAAGAACGGACGGTTAACGGAGTAGAGACGGCAGATTGGAGTAGCGACATTATTGAGAAATTAAAAATGAAAGGAAAGAAGTAAAGAAGGGAATCAATTAGGTGCACTTGCCGAGTAGGGAAGAAAGGAGTGACTTAAATGGAGATCGTTTTTAATTGTTTGCGTGTAAATACTATTCCACCCTTGCAAAATCATGAATTCTTGTGGCACGTGTCAGGATATTTTGGTCAGATTGGAAAACTTCGGTGTGAATAAAATGAGAGGTGTAGGTTAGGGAGAGGAGGTGACATTGAAAGATGGAGAAGATTTCATTTTGGGGATATGAAAAGACGTTAATAGACTTGAGATATTTGATGATAACTTCTTGAACAGTGAATGATAGGGGTTCTTTTGTCCGTTAACTGGTTTTATGGGTCCAAGTCTGGCTTCTGCCACATATTTGATAAATGAGATCTGGTCCAAATTCGAAAAAATTTATAATTTAAGGTTTTAAGTTAAGGATAAAGTATAAAATGATACAATTAAGTAAATTCGATGATTAAATTGATGCGAAAATACGATAGGGGCAAAAGTTATAAATTGAAGTTACTACGAGAGCAAAAGTTACCATTTTGCCAACTATTTAAAACGAATAATGATTGAGATAAACTACATTGAACGATTATCGATGTTTAAGTTAATTTTTGTTTTTCTCTATTCAAATTTCAAAAGTTACAAATTAATGAGTAATATATCAATTTATGACAAAATGATTGAACTGTTAACAAACCTAAAGGGTGATGGAAAATTGATGCGACGAGTTAATAACCTAATCTGACATTGTTTTTGTCACGTGAGATAATTGATCATCTGCTTCTCTTCTTTACTGCAATAGTCTCTAAATCCACAATGAAAGACAGAGTTAATCTCGTTTCGTGATCGAAAACGACCCAATTCTAATCTGCATTCTTGGGAAGAAAGTGTAATATCTTGTCGTGTGAAAGTTTCCGACGAGAACCGGGAGGATTTGGAGAGAAATTATAACAAAAAAAAAATTTCAAAAAACGAAATATGCACATCGCAAGCTTGGTGAGTGACTGGTGGCTTCGAGACCAGCAATCGGCAAAGTTGCAGCATCACCTGCATTCATTCATTGCAAAATGCATTCCTATAGTGAAAGTTGTATGACTTGAACCAACAAACTGTCCTGTGTAACATCAAACATACATATGCTTGAACCAACAAAATTTGAACAAGTAAAACAAATAAATAGGAGAATAAGAACGACAACAACTTTATCCCCAGCTTTAAAATTGTCGACTCCAGTTCCAACTTACGCTATTTCTCCTGCAACATCCGTACCTGATGCAACAAAAGTTCTTTAGCCAAAGATTGAAAATGAGCTATCCGAATATTTGAAGAAAGAAAACTGCAAGCAATAGCCACGAATGATAACAGGAATCAAATTCATAACCAAAATTCGGACTCAAACCTTGAAAAATCTAACTTAATATTTAATAAAGAACCAAAATTCACAACATCTCGATCTCACCTGGAAAAATAACCGTAAATAAAGCATGAAAATAAATAAACAAAAAGTTCACGAAGTAGAAAGTGGATAGATTTTGAGTCTTAATCCCTAAAACGAGAAGAGTAGCCACCGATGACAGTGACCATGGATTTAAATTGTGGTCGCGGTCGCGTTTACCGCTATTGCGGCCATAGCAGACGTTATTGTGGGTATGATCGGTATATCGAAAGGCAGCGCTACCGTTATTTCGAGGGCGTTATCGTGGTCACGAACCACTATTTTAAACTTTGACAATGACGATGAGCCACCGAGGACAAACATGTGGGAAAAACTTCGCTCAAAACTGATATGTAGAAAATATTACAAAAGCAATCTGGTCCAGGGTTTTAAATAGCGGTCCGCGACCGCGATAGCGCCTACGAAATAGCGGTAGTGCTGCCTTCCGATATACCCACTATACTCGCAATAGCGCCCGCTATGGTCGTAATAGCGCCTGCTATGACCGCCAATCACGGTAAACGCGACATGACCGAAAACGCGACCACGACCGTGATTTGAATCCCTGATATGGTCAACTATCTAGCGTGGAAAAAATAGTGCTAGATCAGTTGGTCAATGTGTCACATTAGCTTTTCGTCACCCTACTAACGACTGTTAATATTTAGTGATCATTTTGTAATAAATCGCTAATTAGTGACTAGTTAATAATTTTTAAAACTCCAGGGAGACAAATAAAATTAACTCAAATATTAGTGATTGTTTATGTAGTTTTCCCTAATGATTATGCTGCTTTACTAACATCTTTCGACTACAATCGTCTAATTATCCGTCTCCTAAGCAGCCATCAAACTTCCATAAATTCCTCAAAGTTTCACATGTAAGACCGATTGTCGTAACCGTTTTTCGACGGGGACAATAGTTTAATTGTTTAAAAATAATAGTTACGACTTTTAATTTTGGAAAATGAAGTGATTTGAATTGATTTGGAATAATTTGGATAGAGTCGCCATCAACCTTTGAGTTAGGTAGTTTGAATACCTAAAATCGTCTTTTAAAAATAATTTTAAGAATAATCTTTTTTTTAAGACAAAAGTTGGTATGCGTTTACCAAAGATTTGATTAAAACGGGTTCGGGAGTCGGTTACGCGTGGGGAAGGATCAGCACCCCTACAGCGCCCAAAATTGGTATTGTGTCATTTACATGTTGTCGTAATGGTGGAAATCCTGAATCAAATATCAAGTTAAAATATGATCTGTTTATTGAAATTTAATTAATTTACTTCAGATTAATGACTTAAAGAAAATAAATAAAATAAAATAAGTAGTTAAACTTAGAAGAACTAAAATAATTAGAACAAAAACTTAAAGGGTTAATAAACCAAAATAAAAAATTACAAACATTAAATAACACAAGTACTAAAATGAAAATAATCCAAAAATGAAATTTAGAACTAAAGTGCAACAAATCAAAAACTTGAAGACTAAATCACAATTAAACCAAATTAAAACAAGACTAAAACGATATATTTACAAACATCATAGTAAATTTGAATAATATCAAAAATATACAAATATATTAAGTCAATGACTAATATGTAATATTTATAAATATTATGCACAAAGTCAAATATTAACATAACATGTAATACTGTTGACTTATGCACATGAAGATAATATACAAAATACAACGAATTAATAAAAATGATACAAACATATTAAAGTAACTGTAAATACAGAAAAATAACATTAACAAGGTTAACACTAATAAAGTTTCGGGTTTAACGAAAAACTTATATTCTAATAATGTTCGTGATATTAATTTACTTAAAAAAATTAAATGAAAGCAAAACTTATAACTATATGTTCGTAACAAATTAATTAATACTAATTATGAAAAATATTCTTAGTATAAATATAATTTAATAATATTTATGTGAAACATATTTAATCGAAATACCAAACTCTGTACACTAATGCTATTATTTATATATTATCATGAAAATGTATTAAAAAATTGACATAATGACTAATATGAATAAACACATAACTCTAAGGCTAAGATCATAAACTAAAAAAATAAGTTATAGAACACAAATAATCACATTATGTACTAAAGATTAAATAAATCTACAACTACTTATAGGAGTAAATTGTAATTAAATAAAATTACAAATCAAATACTAAAACAAGTGGAAATTGGAAATAACATTCCTTGAGGATGGAAATATAAAATGCAGAAATAAGGAGGTAAAAACATCAATTCAAACATCCTAAAAGATGACCAAAATGGAATAAGGCAGAAATACCAGTGGCCTTTACCGTTAATTGACCTAACACATATGGTAACTCTAAATTTCCTACACGACATAGTTTTGGGATTTTAATTAACACCTTAAATTTAACCTAGGAATACATTAGACTAACCTAATGCTATTGGAAAAACTAAACCCATTGTTGCGCCATTTCTCTTCTTCCTCCTCCTATTTTCTTCTTCAACGCACGGTTGAAGCCTCGCTCAAGCTACTCTTCATCGCCGTTCGGGCAACCCACAACTATATACCACTGACCAATGCTCCTATGGTGGCTCTTAACCATTCAGCCAGCACTAAAACGAGCAGTGAACACAATCTAAAGATCTAAGAATCAAAATGTTTCTATCTTCTTCGATTAAGAGTCACGAACGTTCGACAACAACACAATCGACCCCTAATTTCTAATCGGATGATCTCGACTCCAACAAGAACCCCAACCTACTAAGGTAACCTGAAACCTCTCCTTATTTATTAATGAACTTATTCTAATTAACACAACCCCTTTGTTTTGATAGCGTAAATTTGAACTATTATGGAGCAAAACAAGACAACTAAGGTAAGTGTTTATACTATCTCCATTATGCCTTTGATTTGGTTTCAATTCAACACATACACGCACATAATAAAATTATGAAAACAGAAGAGAATGGAAACTAAAAAAATAGATACCCTTTTGATTTTGTATATTCCTTTTGAAAGATCGGGAAGACCCCGTTACACTCTATTTATGTGGGTTTCATAATACCCTTATTACAATAACCGAATTTTCTTCCCCTCCTCTATTTTTCAATCTATTTTTTTAGTGCCCCTTCAAACCCCCGAATGCCTTCTCCTTTAAGTTGTCTTCGTTTTGTCTTTACATGCGTGATTATTGGATGCTGAATAATTGATTCGATAGGTAGAAATCTCAAAATTTTCAATGTTAGGTAATGTGGTGGGATCTAATTTTGACTTTGATGGGGATTTTGCAGGTGAGTGGAGATGGCAATAGCACATGGGAGCTAGTAGAGGCATGAGAGACGAGAATAGTGGGGTGGGTGGAATATAAAAAAAATGATGCTGACAGGTGCCCCTCTTTGCTTATTGTTGTGAAACGGGAATGAAGCAAAGATAATAAAGCATCATTTTTATCTTGGTCTCTTCTTATCACGCTGCGAACTCTTCATTAGGAAATGTTGAGCCAAGGTTGAACAAATTCTTCTCATTATAAACTTCTTCTCCCTTGTTGGATGAGTTCTTCTCATTATGAACTCTCTCCTTTATAATGAGTTCTTCTCATTATGAACTCTTCATTGGAAATGTTGATCCCTCAAGTGAGG